TCGGGTCCAGGGCTACCGTGCGTCGCGCGCCCGGGCGAGGTTGTAACGCGGGCGCTGGGGGCCGGGCTGCCGCCTCGCCACTCTAGGGGAGCCCAGAGCTGGCGCTCCTTCCTCGCTCGACTCCAGGACCATGTAAACGCTCACGGTTCTGGGGTTCCTCCGAGCACTTCAGCTTCCGGCCTTGGAACGCTTCGTTCTGTCCGGGGTTCCCGAGAAGCCCGGCCTTTGGACCCTTTTCCAAACCCACGGTCGCCCAGCGGGCGGGGACCAGGGTGTGAAGGGGGGTTGTGGGGACGCGCCAAGAAGGCCTCCCCGGGCCCGGCCGAGCGGGGAAGGGAGGGGGCTTCCAGCCTGGCCTCGCCTGGCCGCCGGCCAGAGTACGTGCTCAGACAACAGACGCAAGGCCCGGCCCCCCGCACCCCCCCACCCCGCGCCTAACGCTGAGACCTCGGAGGCTGGGACGGAGGCCCGGCCGCGGCCCGCACGGAGGAGCGCGCGGGGCCCGGCGCCGCCCGGAGCGGCTTCCCCGCCGCGCCTCCGAGCGCCCCGGCCGCCGCCTGGGTTCTGGCCGCCGGGCGCTGAACGTGCGGCTCGCGCGCGCTCCGGTTCCTGCCTGGAACCGCCGGGGGCCCCCGCACCCCGGAGTTCCCTTCACCGCTGCCCACAGCTCACAGCATGCTGCTCGGCGACTGTGAGCTTTCCCTCCCGGAGCGATGCGGAGAGGGTTGTAAAGCTCCACGTTATTCTAAAAAATAAGTTTGTTTTCTTTTTTTAAATCTACATTATTTCGGGCTTCGGTAGAGAAAGGGCTCGGGTCTGTCTAGGTTTAGGGCGGGTCTGTTCTCACCAAACCGTCTAAATCAAAGCGTTTCCATTCCCAACAACAATTTCTAGCCGTCTGCCTGAATCTAAACCCAGACATTCCACCACTGGAATGATTCCGGCCTCAAACCCCCATTATTGTTGTGTGAGAATAACAGTGTTGCACTCCCTTCCCCTGCTTTCAGCCGCACCTGTCCAGAGTCTTCAGGTCTGGGAAAGGAGGAGGAGGGGCTGTGTTCTCCCTGAGGAAGTCAGCCTCAGTTTCTAGTTCCATTCCTCAGCTGGGACCACGGGCCAGTCCCTCCTGTCCCTACCCCACGGCTGGGGGTCAAATCCGACTCCGAATCCTGGCTCCTGGGAAGGAGTCTAAGCCACCGGATTGGCCTTGTGTTCCTGCCGCTCTGACTCGGGCTTCCTGAGGCCCAGTGTACATCACCTGAGGGAGAAACTTGTCCTGCGTCCTGCCTGGGATGGTCACCAAGCAGCTGTGGCCAGAGAGCAGCAGAGTTCTCCCACCTGGTGCCTCTGTGTTTCCAAAGAAACACCAGGAAGGCCACAAAGCAAAGAGGACAGGCAGATCATGGGCCCCAGCCCTTCCCTGAGCCCTGCGTGCACCAGGCCTTCCCGGCCACCAGTGAACACATGGAGTTTTTGGTTCTGAGTCCACTTCCAAAGCCGGCCTTGCTTTCCTGCCCTCTTCCCTGGCTCCCTCTCATTTCTTAGCTATTAAGCGGGGAGGGGGGGGGGCGCGGCGGGGCAGAAAATAGCAGGTCTTCTAACTGCAGACAGTGAGTCCCAGAGGCGCACAGAGTGGGGACACTCTGCCATCTAAGCCATGCCTAGTTCAGGAAACACTCGCACTCCCAGGACAAAGTGACTGGAGTAAGAACATGTTAGATTTCCGCCTCCTCACCCTTAATCCCAGGAACCTGGTACAGCTATGGAGTTCTTAATAGGCCCATTTTGCAGACAAGGATGGGGAGTCTAGTGGGGCAGCTTCACAGAGCACAACCTTGAACGGGCTGTAAAAATTGCCAGCACCGCCCATGCCAGTCTGACCTCCGTGGGGAGTGTCCACCTTGGCTCCTATGCCTCTTTCTGCCCCGGGGGGAGGGGGGGACTCCTCCGAGCTCCTCTGTCTGTCCTCTGGCCCAGGTGGTCTCAGGATGAAAGGAGCCATGGGCAGCGAGAGGACAGGCGGCGGCCAGCGGCCACAGCAGCGACCTCCTGCTCTTGCCCTTGGTGTAGGACCCTGGAAAGGGCCCGTCCCTCTCTGGCCTCAATTTCCTCAGGGACTGAGGGTTAGTTGGGGATGCCTGTGGTTCCTTTGGACTGTGCTATGCATTTTCTGACTCCCAAAGTCCTAACTTGGCCTTGGCGTCTAGATCCTTCTTCACCCAGGGATCCCTCTTGCTCCGGGACTACGGAACAGCGGGACCAAGCTCGAGATACCGGTTTCACTTGGCATCTTTCAGTCTGCAGCCAGCCGAGAGTCGGAGCAGATCCGGGAAGTGCTGCATTGGCCCTAAACCTCCCTGATGGCTGACACCCGGATCCAGGCGGCCCCCCAGGCCCTACTCCATTCCCCCCCGGCGCACACCCAGGCGCGAGAACAGAGGCTAAAATCAGTTACAGCGCAGGCCACCCTCAGGAGCTACCGGAATGGCGAGTGAGTTATTTTGCATAATTGAGGTCTCTCTCTAAACGCCTCCTTCTCAGCCCAGGCACCCAACTTTACAACTCTGTGCCCCAGACTGACTTGAGGGGAGCAGCGCCACCGCCCAGAGCTGCAGGCCCCAGGCCTCTGAATGCAGTGAGGAGTCCTGGGTCTCCCAGTCCACCCATGTAGGCAAGTGCCCCCCTCCCTGCTCAGGCCCTGCTGGAGGGGGGTCAGCGGGGGAGCCGGTCGGGACCACTGCCTTCTCCCTTCCCCCCCCCCCCCCCCATCAGTCTAGACCCAGAGGTTCAGGGCCATTTCCAAAACTCTAGGGCCAAACAATTACCTCCAGGCCCCTCCCTGAGTTCCAACTTCGACAGTCACCCCCAAGAGGCATCCAGGCCACCCCTCAACCAGACCACACTACCCAACAAAGCACAAGGGCCTGGTGCTCGAGTCCTGGACCATCTCTGCAAGCCCACCTCTGCAAAGGGTTCAGGGCCACGTAATTCTGGGCTCAAAGGCCTTGGAGACTCACTTCCCAGAGTTAGAACACCCAGATTCAATTCTTAAAAATCTGCAGAAGAAGTACACCCACCACTTCCCAATTTTTAGCAGGCTTTCCTGGAAATTCTCCAAACAATAAATGGCTTACAATTAGCCCTCTTTCTCCAGACCTCCCTTTCTAATTTCTCGCTTACTTGAAATCATTGGTAACAAATCATTTAATATTCCAGTCCTGGCTTCTAATGTGTTTATTTCCAGTGGGGAGGTGAGAGGAGGCCAGGGTCCTGTCCTGGTTCCCCACCTGCTTGCAGCATGCAAATTAAGAAACAGCTCACTGGGGTGGGGGGAATAGATAAAAAGAAAGAAAGAAAGAAAAACAAAAACGGGCTCACCACCACTTCTTCCGGGGCGGGAAGGAGACTCGACCCTTGTAAAACCCAATTCTCTTTTAATTTTAATTTTCTACTTCTCTGGTAGAGGGGTCACCACCCTTGGGCTCACTAATAGCGACCACCCGCTTGACAACTTCAAGTAGGAGGGGCTGGAGTGGGGCACGTCTTTATAGTGGGGTCGGAAAAGGAAAGAAGGAAAAGGAAAGAAGGTGTATGGGGCTAGGGTGGAGGTACAGGTCACAGGCTCTTGCACCAGGGAGGAAAGGGCTGGAGGCTGCATGGCCCAGCTGGGAGGCAAGGGCTACGGCTAGCTTTGGGGGCGGGAAGGGGGGGCTAGACTCCCCGGCCAGCTGTGATGCAGGGCTGCAGGTCACGCTGGGCGACAGGCCCTCTGAGCCCTGGAGGCAGTGTGAAGTGCAGCTCCAGACCCAGAGCCAATTACTTATAACAGGCTTAGGGGCAACCAACGCAAAGGTCAAGCTTACTGGCTTCTGGCTGGTCGCCGGCCAGGCGCTTTAATGGAGGCAGCCTGCACCCAAAGGACACCTGTCGCTGCAGTGCAGCCACGTTCCGTGTCCTGCAGCTGAAGTTGTGTCTACTTCCCCACCGGCTTCTGGAGCTCCACACGGCGCTAGGGGCTCCTCAGCCCAGAAGTCTTGGAGTGCCCAGTAGGCCCCCCGTGCAGTGTCTCAGCCCAGGGTCAGAATCTCTCGCGCCAGGCTGCAGCCACCCTGTCTGGGGACAGAGATGCTGAAAGGTGATCGGTTGAGAAACACCAGGACACCAAAAGGAACGCTGTGGTGACCAGGCCTCCCCAGCCCCGTTGCTCAGAAGTGCCCAGCCCAGCAGCCATGGTCACCCGCAGGCCATGTGCTAGCGGGGAATGCTGGCCAGCACGCCATTACTTACCACCGGAGTCTGCTGGACCCATGGGTCCTGGTGCCCCTTGCCTACCGTGGCACCTGCCCCTCCGGTTTATAATTCCAATCAGGAAAAGAAGACTGTGTTCTGGCCTGCCTGCCATTTTTCTTCTAGTCCCCTCTCTGGCCTGCAGGTTTTCAGCTCACCTACTTTCGGTCTCTCCTACCCTGACCTGCCCTGCCCAGGCCAAGGGAGCAAAGAAGAGGCAGCCAGAGAGGCCCAAATCTGAGGCCCAGGCCCCAAACAAGTGCCCTGCTCATGGCTAGGGCCTTCAGGGCCTGGGCCTCCGGGCGCACTCCGCTCTCTCCCAGGCCAGGAGCAGCAAGCACGTCTCACCTTCGGATGCGGTGCTCACACTTCCCCTCCCAGAAAAAGAGATACGAATGAAAGAAAGAAAAAATAAAAGGTAGAGTTAAAGACATGAAGAGAAAAGAAAAGAAAAAGGAAAGAAACGGAACGAAAAGAAAAGAAGGGAAACCAGAATGGACCAGCATGATCACAAAACAATTCCTGATTCGCCGGGTCCACACTTGGGCCAGAAGACGGTCTAGTCCCCACGGCGCCAACACCCTGGCTCCTCTCTCCAACAGGAGCCGAAGCTCCCGGCGCGGCCTCCCCAAGACTCCCTGGCACTGGCGCTTCAAGCCAGCTCCAGCTCCCCGCTTGGGCCGAGGCTCTCGGCCGCCCACCTGCGGCCTCACCTTCGGGGAAGACGGCCCGCATCTTCAAGTAGCTGGTGGTGAGTCGGATGATAGACGCCTTGTCCAGCTGCGAGGTGATGGCCGACGGCAGCGGGAGCAGCTTGGCCAGCTCGTAAAACTCGCCATTTTCCTTCTCCCTCCTGGTCTTGGCCGCATTCTTGGACTTCTCCTTCATCGCGCCTCGGCTCCGGGCATATTAGACCCGGCCGTGCTCCAGGCCCTCGGAGCCCCGCTCCGGCTGCAGCGGCGGGGATGGGGAAGGGGACTCCGGGAGCCAGGTGAGTCTGGGGCACCGCCCGGGGCAGGTGCGCGGGGCAGGCCTGGGGCACCGAGAAGCCTCTCCGCCGCCGCTGGGCCCCGGAGCTCGGCGCAACCCAGCGGCGCAGCTGCGCGCTCTGCCCGCCGCCCCGGGCGCAGCCTCCTCCGGGCTGTACTGTCCCGCGGTGCCCAGAGCCCGACTTCCCGCTCGCTTCTGCTCGCTCTTCCTTTCTCCCTCCTGTCTTCTCGCGTCTCGGCTTTCCTTAGGAGGTGGAGAGTAGCCAGCGAGGAGGCAGCGGTGCCGCTTAGTCCTTGATCGAGTGTTCGTACCCGCTGCCGAGAGGCCCCTCCGGACTGGAGGGCGGCATGGGCGGCGGCGGCCGCGGAGCCATGGAGCGGGAGGGGAGCGGAGGGGAGCTGGGGCGGAGGCGGCTGGGGCCCGGCCCGGGCGCGCTCTCCTGCCCTCCCTGGCGGTTCCCTTTGCCTGGAGCCGCGGCGCCCGGAGCC